AAAGTCAAAATAGCGGTAAAATGTTTTTGAATGGATGTTTGAAAATCAGCGATGACACCAGGTGTTCGCGAAAAGGGTAAGCATGTTCTGGAAGCACTTCCAACTCATATAAGTAAGTATTTGTTGCCTGACACCGCAAATAATAACACAAATTAACATGAAATTTGGCTAGTCGACTCTAAAGTTTGGCACAGACTGCCTCTGTCATCAAAGCAACCACACTGAAATCCACTGGAAAGTTTTCCTTTTTGAAACACAGTATCCCCTCAAACCTACTCTCTTATGATATCATGTTTCCAAGCCATCAGTACACCTTTAAACTCCCGAGACGTAGCGCCTGCGTGTTAAATCTCCAGCGACTACCAACACAATAACATTGTGCGTGTGTGCATTCACAACAGTCTAGCCATAAAGTTAACAGAAATATCCACTTGGAGGTTGAATTTTGCTTTTTTCCCAATCAGTGACCACACGGAGAAGTGGAAACTTGTGTCTCTGTTGACAATGAAGGCCTCTTGCTTTGCTTTGTGTTGTGTGCGTAGGTATTACAAGTGTCCGTAGCCGATCTAGATTACATGCTGCTGCAGCAGCAGCCCTGCGTGGGAACGTGCAGGGGGATATGCAAGTAGTTGCTGATGGTTGTATAAATACCAGCGCAGCATGCAGGAGGCAGAGAAATGCAATCTTTTCCAGAATAAATCAATTAAATTAATGTAGACATATTCCCCCGGCAGACCTGATGGCGAGATGGAAATTCATCTGCATTATTTTTAATCTTGTTTTTAAAACTCGCAATTTGTATCATTTTGGACTATTGATTCTTGGGACGGACATCCGAAGTCTGAATATTTCTTGTTCCTAGCTGAACTGACAATGTTTGTTTGTTGTGTCTGGTCCTGAGCAGAAATAGACAGAGTGAGTGAGTGAGTGAGTGAGTGAGTGAGTGAGTGAGTGAGTGAGTGAGTGAGTGAGTGAGTGAGTGAGTGAGTGAGTGAGTGAGTGAGTGAGTGAGTTGGGTTTAACGCCGCTTTTAACAGAATTCCAGTTATATCACAGCGTGTCAGCTTAATGTGTGAGGAAAGCCTGAAGTGGTGCAGGTCTCAGACGCTTACCACTTCGGTGAAACCCACGAGCAGGGGTATGGTGCTGACAAACCTAGAAACATAATTGGGGCGAACCGGAATTCGAACCCACAATCATAGGTTTCTGGGGGCCACCCTCGCCTCCAGAAATAGACAGAGACTTTCATAACATACATGAGACATTGTAAGTTTTAAAAGTCATTGTGGGAGAAAAGACATTTGTCTTTCATGTTTTGTTTGCTTTTTAACTCAACTGTGACCACTCAATATTCAAGCTAAATGATGACCTGTAATAATCAAATTTGGACCACATAAACCAGTGATTGACATCATGAGCATCGATCCACACAACTGGGAATATGATGATACACAATCACTGAGTCACAGAGGTTGACCACTCTACTATTTAGTCGCCTTCTACAACAAGCACAGGTTGCTAGGCACCTGCTCTAACCCTGAATCCCAAAGGGGTGAACTAGCAAACGATCAAGTTTCAATCCAGTTCAGAGCCAATACAAATCAACTGTCACAGTTTCAATCCCCTTCAGAGTTTGGTGCAAATGAAACTTGTATCTGTTCGTGCAAACAATCCGAAACATTACAAATCCATTAGAAGCTGTAGCAAGAACACACACAGATGGAGGACAGCCTAACACTGGGCTTGCCAACACAAATAAAGTGAGAAACCAACCTAGACCATATCCAGAGTCACTAGCCCCACTGACCAGTGCATGACCAAGACCATACCCCATCACTAGCCCCATTGACCAGTGCATGACCCAGACCATACCCCCATCACTAGCCCCACTGACCAGTGCATGATCCAGACCATACCCCCCATCAAAAGCCACAATGACTAGTGCATGACCCCGACCAAACCCCCATCACTAGCCCCACTGACCAGTGCATGACCAAGACCATACCCCCATCACTAGCCCCACTGACCAGTGCATGATCCAGACCATATCCCCATGACTTGCCCCACTGACAAGTGCATGGTCCAGACCATACCCCCATCACTAGCCCCACTGACCAGTGCATGACCAAGACCATACCCCCATCACTAGCCCCACTGACCAGTGCATGACCCAGACCATACCCCCATCACCAGCCCCACTGACCAGTGCATGACCCCGACCATACCCCCATCACTGGCCCCACTGACCAATGCATGATCCAGACCATACCCCCATCACTAGCCCCACTGACCAGTGCATGATCCAGACCATACCCCCATCACTAGCCCCACTGACCAGTGCATGATCCAGACCATACCCCCATCACTAGCCCCACTGACTAGTGCATGACCCAGACCATACCTCCATCACTAGCCCCACTGACTAGTGCATGACCCAGACCATACTCCGATCACTAGCCCCACTGACCAGTGCATGATCCAGACCATACCCCCATCACTAGCCCCACTGACCAGTGCATGACCCAGACCATACTCCGATCACTAGCCCCACTGACCAGTGCATGACCCAGACCATACCCCCATCACTAGCCCCACTGACCAGTGCATGACCAAGACCATACCCCCATCACTAGCCCCACAGACCAGTGCATGACCCTGACCATACCCCCATCACTGGCCCCACTGACCAATGCATGATCCAGACCATACCCCCATCACTAGCCCCACTGACCAGTGCATGATCCAGACCATATCCCCATCAATAGCCCCACTGACCAGTGCATGACCCAGACCATACCCCCATCACTAGCCCCATTGACCAGTGCATGACCCGGACCATACCTCCATCACTAGCCCCACTGACTAGTGCATGACCCAGACCATACTCCGATCACTAGCCCCACTGACCAGTGCATGACCCAGACCATACCCCCATCACTAGCCCCACTGACTAGTGCATGATCCAGACCATACCCCCGTCACTAGCCCCACTGACTAGTGCATGATCCAGACCATACCCCCATCACTAGCCCCACTGACCAGTGCATGACCCAGACCATACCCCCATCACTAGCCCCACTGACTAGTGCGTGATCCAGACCATACCCCCATCACTAGCCCCACTGACTAGTGCATGATCCAGACCATACCCCCATCACTTGCCCCACCAACCAGTGCATGATCCAGACCATACCCCCATCACTAGCCCCACTGGCTAGTGCATGATCCAGACCATACCCCCATCACTAGCCCCACTGACTAGTGCATGACCCAGACAATACCCACATCACTAGCCCCACTGACCAGTGCATGACCCACACCATACCCCCATCACTAGCCCCACTGACCAGTGCATGATCCAGACCATACCCCCATCACTTGCCCCACCGACCAGTGCATGATCCAGACAATACCCCCATCACTAGCCCCTACTGACTAGTGCATGGAGTCTGGACTAGACAATCCAGTGATTGACATAATGAGCGATCCATGCTGTTATGGTGTGATGACACGCTATCAACCAAGTCACCGAGACTGACCACCAGGGCCCACTTGTACAAAGTGATCTTAGCGCTACGACTATTGTAAGCCTATGTTAAAGTATGGGAGTTACGATCGTCTTAGCGCTAAGATCGCTTTGTGCAAGTGGGTCCCGATCCATTAAGTTGGCTCTTATGACCAGTGTAGGTTGCTGAGGACCAATTCTGACCAAGACTTCCAATAGGAAGAGATAAAACATTTGGAGAAAAAAGTAGGCAGTTTAACTGCAACAGACACAGCTTGTTGAACAATGGTGGAGACCCAATCAGGTCATATGGGACAAGGACTGAAAATATATCAAATCACATGGAACAAGGTGAGAATAAATCAGGTCAGAAGGAATAATGTGAGTATTAATCAGGTCACATGGAACAATGACTAAGTATAAATGAGGTCAAAAGGAACAATGACTTAGTATAAACCAGGTCAAAAGGAACAATGACTGAGTATAAATCAGGTCAAAAGGAACAATGACTGAGTATAAATCAGGTCAAAAGGACCAATGACTGAGTATAAATCGGGTCACATGGAACAATGACTTAGTATAAATCAGGTCACATGGAACAATGACTGAGTATAAATCAGGTCACGTGGAACAATGTAAGTAATAATCAGGTCGAAATGGAACAATGACTTAGTATAAACCAGGTCACATGGAACAATGACTGAGTATAAATCGGGTCACATGGAACAATGACTTAGTATAAATCGGGTCACATGGAACAATGACTGAGTATAAATCAGGTCACATGGAACAATGTAAGTAATAATCAGGTCGAAATGGAACAATGACTTAGTATAAACCAGGTCACATGGAACAATGACTGAGTATAAATCGGGTCACATGGAACAATGACTTAGTATAAATCGGGTCACATGGAACAATGACTGAGTATAAATCAGGTCACATGGAACAATGACTTAGTATAAATCGGGTCACATGGAACAATGACTGAGTATAAATCAGGTCACATGGAACAATGACTTAGTATAAATCAGGTCACATGGAACAATGTAAGTAATAATCAGGTCGAAATGGAACAATGACTTAGTATAAATCAGGTCTCATGGAACAACGAATGAAAACAAATCAGGTTCATCATCGATAGAAGTATTGGTAAGCACCCAAAACCACAGAATGGCAACACATTCAACAGCAAACCACAGCACAGAAACACCTTCCACCGCAACCACAGCACACAATGTTATAGACCGTTAATCCTCAACCCAACTGTAACATAACTCTGCAGGTGACTGACACAGCACCAACACAACAGAACACCAAACAGTCTGTATGTGCTCTAGGATGTCGTGACACTGCCACAAAGCCTAAGAGCTAGCATAGTCCGTACTGAAAATTCATATGACGACATCTCATAATACCATAAATCAATAGCACAGGGGGGCTGGGTTATCTCCCCATTCTTGACAGTTATTCCCCTTGTCATGCATGTTCCTACCTTGACCTCTTGAACTTCCTTCCTGGCCTTGAAGCCCTTGAAGCCAGCCTGGATCTTGATGGCAGCCTTCTCCACGTCGGGGTCATTGAGGTCGATATCCACCTCCTCCTCCTCCTCAGCCTTCTTCTCCTCGGCGGCCAGACGTTCCTTTAGCTCCTGTTGACGCTTCTCAAACGCCTCAGGGTCTCTGAAACGTGGAAGGAGTGAGTCAGGTTAAAGGCGGCTTGAAAGCATTTCAGTTATATAACAGTGTGTCAGCTTGATATGGGAGGAAAAGCGGATGTGACGCAGGTCTTAAACATTTGGTGTGAAGGTGCTGAAACCGAGAATCATAATCAGGGTGAAGCGAGATTAAAGGTCTCTTAGGATTCTGGCAAGACCTTAGCGGGCTAGTGCTATTAAGTTTCCATCCCTGCATGTGTAATTTATTTAACATTTTGTTGATTTTCTCAAAAGGTTTGTTTGCAATTTCCAGTATTGGCATGTGGCAAGGTCAGGTGTATTTCAATCATGACTGTGCAGTTTTTAATAATAGATGACTCTCTTAGAATATTCTAAATACCAGTCAACCAGAAAGTTGCGTTCTACTCAGGTCTTAAAGAAATATATTTTCCCTGGGAAATATCCGGTTCTTACTATTGACTTATTAGGCAAAGCAATACTTTATGTTGCATCACCATGTTATGTTTAAAGGAATAAAAGAATGTAAATAAAAGCAACAAAACATGCTCCATAATCATAACACCGCACTCAGCAATATTCCAGCTATATGACGGAGGTCTGTAAATAATCGAGTCTGGACCAGACAATCCAGTGATTGACATCATCAGCATTGATCTACATAATTGGGATACGATGATGTGCATCTACCAAGTCAGCGACCCTGACCACCAGATCTCGTTAGTTGCCTCTTACGACAAGCATTGGTTGCTGAAGACCTATTCTACCCCGGATCTTCACAGGTCTCCACTCTATTGAGTTGAGCACAAATTTCCAGGTAAGTTTTATACAGAATAGCCTTAGAGAGTCATGTAGTGTATAGAGTCATGATAGATCCACGCATGGGGCATATTTAAGAAATGAAAAAACAATTATCATCTTGACTTATGTAAAACTATAATAAATACGGGAGTTTCAATATTCTTGCACTGAGATTGCTTCGTGGGACAAGACTCTGGTGTGCTACTCACTTGGTCTCCAGAACCTTCTGCCTGTCGATGTAACCACGGACACCAGACTGGATGACAGTGGCGGCCTCCTCTTCCCGCATGCCCTGCACCTCCTCCTTGGCGGCATGCTGGCGATAGTTGGTCTGGATGGTGAGGGCTGCATCCTGCTGCTGGGGGTCTGCAGGGTCCACTGAAGGGTTCTGGAGGGAGAACATTTGGGATACACACTAGAGGTGTTATCATAACTTACACTTTGTGGCAATAGTAATAGGGGTGTTATCATACACTTTGTGGCAATATCCTAGGTGTTATCTTACACTTTGTGGCAATAGTATAGGGGTATTATCATACGCTTTGTGGCAATATCCTAGGTGTTATCATACACTTTGTGGCAATAGTATAGGAATATTATCATACACTTTGTGGCAATATCCTAGGTGTTATCTTACACTTTGTGGCAATAATATAGGGGTATTATCATACACTTTGTGGCAATATCCTAGGTGTTATCTTACACTTTGTGGCAATAGTATAGGTGTGTTATCATACACTTTGTGGCAATGTTAATTTATAGGTGTGTTTTTATGGAGGTATTATCATACACTTTGTGGCAATGTTATATTAAAGAGGTGTTTTATGGAGGTGTTATCATACTTTTTGTGGCAATAATATGGGTGTGTTATCATACAAATTCCTGCAGACCATTACATATTTCCAAATTTCCCATAGTTTTAACAGAAGGACATTTTCTCTTTACCCGAGATTTTAGTTCTAACCCTGATATTATTGGGGTGTTAATTATCATATGGCTTGTACAAATTTTATAGGGTGTTATCATTCTCTTTGTGACAATATTATATATGAGGGTGTATTTTGGTGGAGTTCTCATTCATTTTGTGAAAATATAACACATGAGGAATATAGGGGTGTTATCAAACACTTTGTGACAATATAATACAGGAAATTTACTGAGGTGCTGTCATTCCCCTTGTGGCAATTGATAGGGTGTATTATGGGAGTGTTATCATTCATTTTGTGGCAATATATTACGGGAAAATTACTGAGGTGCTGTCATTCCCCTTGTGGCAATTGATAGGGTGTATTATGGGGGTGTTATCATACATTTTGTGGCAATATAATATGGGTGGATTAGCGGGGTCTTATACACATAACTAGATGTCCTAAAAATACTTTGTTGTGGGTCCTTCAAAAGTTGTTTTCCTCCTTTCAGAGAAAGACATTGTCTGTCTTCAAGAAGTGACAAAAATATCACTCACAAAAATCGTAGCCCCTGATGTATCTCAGCTGGTTGGTACCATATAGCTACACCTCCAAGTTGCTGACATGCAGTGAGTGACCAGTGCATGATACAACAAGCGTTTGCCCCTAATGTGGCTATATCCCCCGCCCCTGTTGCAGAATTTATGACATAATTAAATCTAAACAAACCCAAACCTTTTTTAACCGAGGTGGAACTTGTCCATCTTGTTGCCATCGAAACGTAAAAAATAAAAATTTCTAAAATTTCTAAATACATGGTAGCAAAAGACACCAGTTCAGCATGTACCTGACAACCTGCAAAGTTTGATGAAAAAATATTGAACGGTTTATGAGTTATGCTCCGGAAACGAACCCTACCCTCACAGAACCTAAATCCGTCTTGTTGCCATGGAAACGTAAAAAAATGAAAATATCTAAAATTTCTAAATAGCAAAAGCCACCAGTTCAGCATGTACTTGACAGACCTGCAAAGTTTGATGAAAAAATATAGAACGGTTTCTGAGTTATGTTCCAGAAACGAAACGTGACGGACGGACATACGGACGTAGCCCGTTTCTATATCCCCCGCCAACTTTGTTGGGCGGGGGATAATTATCAAGCCATAGATTAATACCATACTGCTGCTGTGATGGTAATGTCAGCAAGCAGCAAGGGTTTGGGGCCAGCAGGGTGCTTTTGCCCACTCGCTACACTCCTGCTTTCATTATTGGCAACTGTCATGCTATTCACACAAGAAGCATGACAGTAAAGTGGCCCACAGATGGTCCGTGTAATTTGTTGAGTGAGGGAAAGCTGCTTGAGGGTGAAGAGTAACATGAATATACATTCTATGCCAAAACATTTGGAGACAACTAGCCAAAACCTTACGGAAGCCTTTGAGGGCCAATTGTTTTTTTTGTTTTTTTCGATACTATCTTGGAATTTCAATTAGTATGTATCTTGAAACTTCAACACAGTATCTTGAAATTTCAACTTAGTATCTTGAAATTTCAACTTATTTTTTTTGAAATTTCAACTTATTTTTCTTAAAATTTCAACTTATGTATCTTGAAATTTAAACTTTGCATCTTAAAATTTCAACATAGTAGCTTGAAATTTCAACATATGTAATTTGAAATTTCAACTTAGTATCTTGAAATTTCAACTTAGTATGTATCTTGAAATTTCAACTTATTATCTTGAAATTTCAACATAACCTCTACAAATTTCAAGTTAGTATCTTGAAATTTCAAGAAAAAAACAAAAGGCTTCCGTAGAACCTGGCACTTTTTCAAGAGAATTTAGTGCTATCATTAGCTGAGCTTACTCGACTGAACATAAATTGACTTGGCTGGGGCTTTGTAGCTGAAGCACAGACTGTTATATAACAGCAGCGGAGTGAGTGAGTGAGATTGGTTTAACACCACTTTTAACAGTATTCCAGTCATATCACAATGTGTCAGTTTAATGTGGGAGGAAAGTCTGACGTGATGCAGGTCTCAGACGTTTACCACTTTGATGAAACCCATGATCAGGGGTATGGTGCTGATAAAGCTACAAACATTATTGGGGCGAACCAGGATTTGAACCCACTATCTTAGGTTCCTGGCATACCAAAGGGATGCAACTCTGTACAGTGAGTTGGGTTGCCTGAGATGACTGGGTGCATGTGGATCCCAGCAGCAAGTAATAAGACCTTTAATTACCGCAATTGCCATAATAAGCATCCTAGGCACTAAGAAAACTATACAAAACAAATTAAATTTTCCCCTCTACACTGCTGTTTTCTGAAAGAAATCTGCACTGTATATGAGAAAATATAGACTGGCATGTAAATGTTTGGTCACAGTGTGGGGTGACTACCCTTCCAATCTGGTCTAGGAGTTTATCAGGGGTGCATATTGGAGCAGGGCACTTGTTATGGGGAATACTGTATGTGGACAGAGAAGAAGGTCCTCAAGATGACACTGACGGACATTTGACATGAACTCACCTTGAAAGAGTCGTTGTTGTAGTAGCGGTCTTCTATCTTAGCACCTAGTACGGCGGGATCATGTCCGGTTTCTGGAACACACAAATATTCCATTATAAAAAGACAATATTACAGTCCAGCAAAGGAAAGTCTACTTTACTAGAGAAGTTGTTAAAGAATTTTTTTTATCTTGTGGTCTAGCCTGAGGCATGACTGTTTTGAAGGAATAACTGCCTTTATCATCCAAAACTGGCTCCCACAGGAGATATCACTTGGGTGAGATCAAGCGATATCTACATTGTAGATATCACTGCAATGAAATTGCACCATATTGCTTTGTAGACCATTGTCATGTCACTGGTTACCTTGATCTAACAATCAAATGACACCACTAATGGCTCTGCTACTGAAGCTGTTAGCAGTACTTTTAAAAATAGGACTGCTTATTACTGTCTTCAAATGAAAAACTTGGAATTTATCTTACCCTCGTTGATATATTTGATATCAAAAGACACGAGGGTGAGATTCTCTATTTCCTATACAACAGGGTAGGATTTTATTCTGTTTTACCACCTGCACCAGGTGCAACTAAGTGAATTATTCATGTTGCACCACCAAAATAATGGCTGCACTATTTTAGCATAAATTGAAACACATTATTTTCAGTTATTTCGATTATTAGATAATGTCAAAGATAAAATAAACTTAAGAATGTATTTTACTTTGAGGAAATCTGTATATGGCTTTAAACATCTTGATATCCTGTAAACAACCTCAAAGAGAAGTTTCAAAGTGTCTGCAGCTGTTTCTTGTGACTGTAACCTCATGAGTGACTGTTTTAGTGGTAATTGTAAATCATCACTTCTGCAAGTTCAATTAATGCATTCAGACCACCTGTGTATTCACTATTTACATGAACTTTTGTTTTCCGGATTCTAAAAGATTTACAGCCAGTAAATGTGGTTTTTCTTATAGATTGAGTTAAATCACGGTTATGACAAGGATCTTTGACATTCATACCTATTTCTAACACTATGTACATGTGTATGAATATGTGGATGTATTTGTACAATATGTGTGAAGACATGCAGATAGACTCTTGTGCAAAACATCTCAAGACTTCTGGGTTTGGTGATAATTCTAGGGTGGGACCTTGTGCTTTTAGCCCCTAAATTTGAAAAAAAGGGCCACATTTTTAAATACAATGGGGCATTTTAACATTGTGTTGTATTGGCGTACCTCTGGAATATTTGAAATTTTAATATATAGGGCCCATGTCAGTAAGTTCCAAGAGTGAACCATGAAGTGTGTCAGACATGACGAGAAACATGATCCTGCAGTATCATCATCATCAACATCATCATCAACATCAACATCATCAATAACATCATCATCAACATCATCAATGATGTCATCATCAACATCATCAGCACATCTTCCTCATCAGTGACATTGCATACATCCTGACAATGCATATGAATGCAATGCATATTAATTCTCATAAATCAAACCCTCTGTGACATCATCCAATTGTCCCAAGTGGGTTAACAGTGGGAAAATATTTGAAAGTCATACTGGGTACTTTGGAGTGTTATAGCTACAGGCAGTGTGCGATAAAAGATGTTGTTGAATTCTCAAGTATCATTCTAATATGTGCAGGAGCATCTGAACGAATCAAACAGATCTATACAGATAAATTGACAAGCCCCAAGTTGTATGCAATTCTGCATCAGGGACAAACAACTCATCTCTCCACCAGTGCATGCAGCAAGTCCATTGTATTCAGGGGACCGGTTTCCGTTTACTAAAAAGTGTCTAGAGATATTAATCATTTTAAAGTATATGAACGTGAGAAAGTCGGTTTATAAGTTGGATAAAACACGTTCGGAACTACCCTTAGGATTTTATGATACGTAAAACCTTCATCCTCTGAATAAAACCCCTGATAAAACCCCAACCTTCACCAGCCAGCCCACTTTTTTTGTCATGGGCCAACCCAACCCTCGCCAACCACCCAACCATCTTGTCACACTCCACCCCACCCCTCCCAAGCCATCCTGCCATCTTGTCACATTCTAACCCACCCCTCACCAACCACCCCACCATCTTGTCACACTCTACCTCACCCCTCACCAACCACCCCACTATCTTGTCACTCTCTACCCCACCATCTTGTCACACTCTATCCTACCATCTTGTCGCACTCTATCCTACCATCTTGTCACACTCTATCCTACCATCTTGTCGCACTACGCCCCTCCCGCCATCTTGTCACACTCTACCTCACCCCTCACCAACCATCCCACCATCTTGTCACACTCTATCCCACCATCTTGTCACACTCTACCTCACCCCTCACCGGCCACACCTTGGGCTCAACACAGTCTTTGTCTCCCACAGGGAATTGGGATGGGAATGTTTGTGAAAGATGAAAAGGATCCTCTATTAATTATCAGTTAGTGGTAAATTATACATGGAAGGGTTTCAAAGAGCAGTTGCGCCTTCCTGGTAATACCAAGCATCACATGATTTAGTAATTCCTACCCGAACCCATGACCCTTCAGCTGCCAGTCTGAGGATATATACCATTATAAACATGCTCGGGCAAGCAGACAAGTGCTAAATTCTAGCCACAGATTAAGAAAAGATGAATGGCAGTTCTCTAATTGTGCAAGAAACATCAAGCCTCCCAAATGCTATGATTTGAGGAGACCCAGCCAAATGAATATCATTCAGCTCATTGGTCCCAAAGTCCTGCATTCCTGTCCAGGGAAGTTATACAAGCTCCTTACAGTGACAGTTCATTCCCTATTCCCTTTATACTGTGAGGTACCATGAATGTCTTGAGCTGGGTTGGAGCTTGGAATAAAGATGTATGCGCAGTTCAATTTAATCACTTAATAGTAGCATTGTAGCCAAGGACCTTGTCAAGACAACCAAACACTTCAACCACAAGACTAACAACCCGTGAAGATCCGGGGTAGAGTAGGTCTTCAGCAGCCCATGCTTGCCGTAAAAGGCGACGATGCTTGTTGTAGGAGGCGACTAATGGGATTGGGTGGTCAGGCTTGCTGACTTAGTTGATGCATGTCATCGTATCCCAATTGCATAGACCGATGATCATGATGTCAATCACTGGATTTTCTGGTCCAGACTCGTTTATTTACAGACTGCAGTCATACAGCTGGAATATTGCTGAGAGTGGCGTTAAACAACAAACAAACAAGCAAGACTAACACACCATCTGAAAATTGAATTACCAATGTGTGGAATTAAACCCAGATCTTCAATGGGATGAGCGGGGGCACGGGTGGCCCAGTCGTCTAAGGCGCCGTGATTCGCTGTGCAGAGTTGCGTCCCTTGGACACGCCAGAAACCTATGATTGTGGGTTCGAATCACGGTTCGCCCCGATTATGTTTCTAGGTTTGTCAGCACCATACCCGTGCTCGTGGGTTTCACCGAAGTGGTAAACGTCCGAGACATGCATCACTTTGGGCTTTCCTCCCACATTAAGCTGACACGCCGTGATATAACTGGAATAATGTTGAAAGCAGCGTTAAACCCAACTCACTCACTCACTCACTCAATGGGATGAGCACAAGCTTCATCCACTGGACTTCCACGCCCACCAACTTCCTTCCAGTTCCTGTCCTGGCTCACACGTCCACCTAAGTGTGCAGCCGGACGTGTAGTTTCTTTCCGAGTGTGCCCGGGGCACTCACATAGATGTTCAGATGTGCAATCTGACATTTAAGTGAGGCCATTAAGAAACTCTGTTTGATCATCTTCAAATGTGGTGAATGTCAATTCGCTATAAACTATATAGTTTCCCCACGTCCTTTACACTGAAATTGTTGCTAGTCATTTCAGTTCCAGAATCCCAGAATTATGTTGTAAATCAAACTGTGCATGAAGGATGTTCCTACGTTTATCATGTGTTTGGCCAGTGTACCAACAAGTGTGAACGAACAGTTATCCCTGGCTTCAGGTTCAAATCATCATAATAAAAACAACAACAACAATAAAAAGATGATGATAATCATGATCATAGTGAAGATGATGAGTGAGTGAGTGAGTGAGTGAGTGAGTGAGTGAGTGAGTGAGTGAGTGAGTGAGTCTGGTTTTACACCGGTTTTAGCAATATTCCAGCAATATCACAGCGGGGTTACACCTGAAATGGGTTTCACACATTGTACCCATGTCAGGAATCGAACCCGGATCTTCGGCATGACAAGCGAACGCTTTAACCACTAGGCTACCCGACCACCCCTGATGATGATGATGATGATGATGATGATGATGATGATGATTGTCACAAGTTATTTTTTAAAAATAAAGCATAATTTCCAAGTGAGCCCTTTAACAGAGATGATATAGTACATGGATTCTGCCTTCAGACACCAGGAGCTTATCTCAACTGTACTGCTACAATCTTAACAAGGAATTTAGAACCCCGCACATGTTTTACCTGTGTTCATTGCCTGATTTGTATACAGCATGTACCCAACTATAGATAACTTCATGGATCCCCATCTGGTCAGTCGAAGACTGACAGACAAACCTCCATATAGATGCATAATACCAATGCAGGACATACCGGTAAATGTATTGCTGTGCATTATAGGATGCAGATCACAAGGATGGTGCCCAATGCAAATAGCTCCACCATTAGTGTACAGGATATTATCACGTTTATCGAATTCCAAAAATAATGGTATGATGCGAGGCTTCAGACAGCTGATCCAGGACGGAGATCTAATTGCCGTGTAAGAACAAAGAGATTTACAAAGGGCAAGTCTAACCCTATTTTAAGGAGGAAAGCAAGAATTGCTACAATCCTATTAGGCTCAGTAATCAATAGCAATGGACTTCTATACAAAGCTCTGGTGATGTACCAAGAGAAGGCCAGATCTGATTTTACTGTCGCCTTCCAAATTAAGCATGCAAGGGGTCCTTGCCCTAACCCTAATGTCAAAAGTTATATAGATTTAGGGGTCTACAACAGAGGATATGAGGGACCCCAGGAGCCCTTAGTCCTTGCCCTAACCCTAATGTCAAAATGCCGCAGTTTAACATGAAAACCCCACTCAG